TTGGTGTTCAAGGAATGAAACATCCATAGTAACAAAATTTTTTCGAGTAGTAGGATTGAAACATTTATATCCCCTTTTATTTGGAGCATAGCCTATAAAAACACATTTTTCAGCCATTGGATCAAGTTTAGACCTCCCTTTACTAGGTAAATGAACATAAGCGGTACATCCAAAAATTTTAAGGGGTAGATCTGACTGAATACGAGTAGATGAAATTTTTTTTTTCAAACTTTCAAGAGGAGTTTTATAGTTTAAAATCGAGAAGGCATCCTGTTAATTAAGTAAGCTGCAGTTAAAACTGCATCACCCCAAAGGTATTTAGGAATATTCATAGAAAACATAATGGCACGAGAAACTTCTAGTAAATGTTTATTTTTTCGCTCAGCAATACCATTTTGCTGAGGTGTATCAACACAAGTAGATTGATGATGAATTCCTTTTTCCTTTAAAAAATTTCCAAGGACTTCACTAAAATATTCGGTGCCATTATCAGTATGCAAAATTCCTATTTTAGTTTGAAATTGAGTTTCAACCATTGTATAAAAATCTTTGAACAAATTTTCAACTTCAGATTTTTCACTCATTAAATAGATCCAGCATAAACGAGTGTGATCGTCAATAAAAGTTACAGACCATTTTTTACCAGAAAGGGTTTTGATCCTTGAAAGACCCCAAACATCACTGTGAATTAAATAAAATGGTTTTGAGGAAAAATTAGTCCTCTGACTTTTTGATAAGATGCAATTCTCACAATAAAGTTTGGAATAATCCACACCACGAAATAACATAGGAAATAATGTTTTTAGATAGGAAAAACTAGGATGTCCTAGTCTATAGTGCCAAAGCATTATTTGATCCTTAACAGAGATAGAACTAATACTACTTAAGCCTTGAGCTTTTTTATTCTTGGAGTTTCCATCTTCTAAATAGTAAAGGCCATCTATCACCTTAGCACTGCCAATCATCCTCCCCGAGTTCCTCTCCTGAAACGCACAATGAGATTCAAAGAAAGTGAGATGACAATTAGAATCCTTAGACAACTTGCTCACTGATAGAAGGTTACATGCAAGTTTAGGTACATGAAGAACAGATTCAAGTGTTAAGGAACTAGATAATTTTATCAAACCTTTGCCGGCAATGGGAGAAAAAGATCCATCTGCTATACGAATTTTTTCATGGCCAGAACAAGGAGTATCAGTGTCAAATAAGTGAGAAAAACTGGTCATATGGTCAGAAGCTCCTGAATCTATTATCCAGGGAGCAGTGTCGGGAAAACAGCAAGATAAGGCAATTGAGTCTCTACCTGTTTGAGCAAGATAAGCACTAGGAGTACCCGATAATCCCGAGTTAGATTTCAGCAGTTTAAGAATGTGATCAACCTGCTCCTTGCTAAATGGGATAGCCGCGGCTTCATGTGCAGCAGGTGAGGAATTGAATCTGCCTTCATGTTTCCCTTTCCAGTTTTCTGGTTTCCCATGAAGCTTCCAGCATGTTTCACGTGTATGGCGTGGCTTGTTGCAGTAATCACACCACACGCGAGGTTTCTCCTCAGTTTTCCGCGGATTAAAGCGTCCAACATGTGCCTCGGCAGTGGCAGAGGCAAGAGCAGAGTTTTCGACATTATGGCTTGGTATTTTCTTACCAAGCATGACAAATTTACGGCTTTCCTCTCTACGAACCTCAGAAAAAACTTCTCCAAGAGATGGAAGGGGCTGTCTGCCTATTATTCGCCCTCTAACCTCATCAAACTCAACATTAAGTCCAATAAGGAACTTGAAGATACGATTATCCTCCAAGGTTTTCTTATAGTGGTTGCAGTCCTCAGGAGATTTCCACTCATAATCACTAAATAGGTCTAGATCCTGCCACAAAAGTTTCAAAGAGTTAAAGTATTTTGTGACACTTCCCTCACCTTGGCGGATTTCTCCGAGTTTCAGTGTTAATTCATACACTTGGGACTGATTTCCCAAGTCTGAGTACATTTGGTTGACATTGTCCCAAAGCTCCTTAGCGGTGTGATAACACATGTAGTTGGAGCTGATCTCTTCCTCCATGGAATTCACCAACCACGTCATCACCATAGAGTTTTCAGCGTCCCAAGTTGGATGAGAAGGATCTTCCAGGGCTAGTTCCTTCTTTTCTCCGGTCAAGTAGCCAATCTTCCCTCACCCGCAGATATACATGCACACAGATTGTGACCAACGCAGAAAGTTTTCCCCATTCAATCGTATTGTAGTAATCTGGACAGAATGGGAATCATGGGCAGGGACATGAGGCCTGGATGCATCAGTTTCAGTGGGTTTTGACTGGTTTACAGTGGTATTTGTGGACTCTGACATTGTTTCAGACATGATGGAAGGAAGGTTGGAACGGCTAGGGTTCAAAGGACTGCTAGGGTTGTAAGAGGATAGCTAGGGTTGAGCAAAAAAAAAAAAGATCAATTCTCTGATACCATCTAGAGAAATATAGAGAAGAAAGAATAATGAAATTGTATATTCAGTAGGTGTACAACACATCCTTAATACTAATTACAAAGGAAACTATTCTAGGAAAGACCAGTAAATATGGAATGTTAATTGCTGTACAAAATCAATCATAATCACTACTTTCCTAATCTTCTTCAATGAGGCTCTTTAACTTAACCTCCTATGATCAGCCTAATATCTTCCATATTCGGTATAATTGATACCGAATATTCATATCTTCAATAGTAATATTTTTTATTCTAGATGGCCCCCATACATCACTATGAATCATGGAAAAAGGATGAGATGCGTTGTATGGTTGAATATGGTAAGAATTACGAACATGTTTTGAGAATTGGCACACTTCACATTGAAACAGCTTTGGATTTTTATTGATAAATAAAGAAGGAAACAGTTTTTCGATATATAAAAAATTTGGATGACCTAAACGATAGTGCCATAACATGATTGCACCATCTTTATTGGTGTTTTCAACAGATACTAAGCCAACGGTATGAGTTTGTCTTTTAGGAGGTCTGTTAACTTTGAGAAGATAAAGTCCCGAGCTTACCCTAGCATTGCCAATCATCTTCCCCGAATCCAAAACCTGAAATTCACACAAATCCGAGGAGAATTTAGCAACACAATTAATTTCTTGAGAGAGTTTACTCACTGATAAAAGATTACAGTCCAGATTAGGAACATGAAGTACTGTCTTCAACTCTAGGGTTTTTGAGAGAATAATAGACCCTGTTCCAGCCACTTTAGCGAGTGATCCATCAGCAATTTTTATTGTAAGATTAACTTGACATGGTCTGTAATGATGAAACATAATTCTGTCTCCTGTCATGTGATTAGATGCCCCAGAGTCTACTATCCATGTGTCCTTATTTTCGGAATCAACAGAAAGAGCACTCAAGTAATTACCTTTGTGTGCCAAAGATTCGTTTCCAATGTTACCCTGAGCAGTTGTTGCGTGTAAGAACATCTTTTGTAAGGTTTCAAGCTGTTCCTTGTTGAAATGATTGGATTCCGAGGAAGTAGAATTTCCTTCTTCAACCGCAACATGATTTCCGCGGCTATCTTTGTCCGTAGCTGGTCTTGAAGGTTTCCAATCTGTAGGTTTGCCATGTAGCTTCCAGCATGTCTCACAGATGTGTCCTGTTTTTCGGCAATGATCGCACCATGGCTCCCCTTCTTCTGTCGATTGTCGTAGCTGGTGTTCTAGGCTCCTCGAACAACTAGGGCAGATGAGTTATCCGTGATCGAAGCACTGATGGATGATTCCCCGAGCATCACCTTTTTCTTGCTTTCTTCTCTGCGCACTTCAGAAAAAACTTCTCGGATGCTTGGTAGGGGTTTTGTCCCTAATATTCTTCCTAGTTCTTGTTGAGTCCCATCAAGAACTTGAATATTCTCTTCTTTTCCACGATTTCTCTGAATCTTTTTGCATCACCCGGACAGTCCCACTTAGAGTCCTCAAATACGTCTAATTGTTGCCAATTATGGGTGAGGATATTGTAGAATTGGGTGGCAGAAAGATCTCCTTGTCGAAGGTCATGGATTGCAGTTTCGATCTCAAAAATTACTGAGGTATTTTCCTTACTCGAGTAAAATTCTTTAGCCGCATCCCATATTTCATGTGCAGTGCTATAGAGCAAAAAATTCTCACCTATTTCGTTGGTCATTGAATTTATTAACCATGACATGACCATATTGTTCTCTGTTTTCTAGAGTCTGAATGTGGGATCCCCTTCCTTTGGAGGGATGATCTCACCTGTGAGATATTTGTCCTTCCCTTTTCCGCATATGTACATCATAACGGATTGCGACCATTGAAGATAATTGTTCCCATTCAGTTTGTGCCCTATAATGGGAAGATGAACGCCTTCTGCAACGCCATAGGTGCTAGGGTTCGAGACTCCAGAGCCTGAAGTGACTTCGGATGATGACTCCTTTTGCCTCTCGGTGGCCATTCCGTATTTGGTCATCAGAGAGGGATTTTTGGAAGGCTCTGATACCATGTGAAAAATTGAGAAAGAACTAGAATATTTCTCATTAAATAATGAATAACGAAAATAATTTTAAATAGGAGGAGATGCCCCAATCGATTCCTCAAAACAAGGAACTGATAAACTAAAACAATATCTCTAATCCTAGTAAAGATAATAAACAAGAAAAATAAATGAGAGGATCAGGTAAGTCATTATCCGAATCTCTTTATTTTTAGAAACCAAAAGACTAACTTAACCCTAGTAATTTAAACACCGAATTTCCACAGTTCTTAACTCCTGGTAATGTGTTTTTCTAATGGGGCGTCTCATCAAGCTTAAAGATTTAGATTATAGTTTATACTACCACTTGCAGATAGTTAATTCTAAGAAATTACCATTTTGAATGTGATTGTCTAGTAACATCTGTTTATATTGTTAATATGGAGGATGCATCTTAGAGTTATAGTAGTTGGAAGATTGGATTTAGCACTAAACTACTGCTTTGTTCTTATTGTTTTGTGTTAAAAATAATCTGATTTAGGAAAATAAACCAACAGTCACTACTACTCAGAGAAGTGTACAAGATGGCCCCGTTGCTGCAACAGTGACTGAAAGTGACTTGAAAGTGACTGTAGAGAAAGATCTTGTGTCCCAAGCTGAGGAAGAGGACATGGAGGCTCTTCTGGGCACGTACGTATCCTTTACTGTTTCAATTTTCTTTTACTCAATTCGTTAAACTGTCCCAAAAATTCTTTTAACATCTTTATTATCATGGTATGTTGTGCAGTTATGTCATGGGTATTGGTGAAGCAGAAGCATTCTCTGAAAGGTTGAAGAGAGAGCTTCTAGCTTTAGAAGCAGCAAATGTGCATGCCATTTTAGAAAGTGAGCCTTTGATTGATGAGGTGATTCACTTACTTCTTTGCTGTGCATGGTAGTTTGGTAATCTTTCCAGAGAAATTATATCACATTATGTTACATTCTTGGACAATTTCCCAATTTTTGTGTTATCGAATATGTTACTATGTAATCCGGCTAGAACTATTACAATCGCTAAAGTCCAGTAGGATCAATGTGACAAGACAGTACCAGAGAGCTCTAGCCTTCTGCTTAGTCACTTTCTCTACATCAAAAGATACTTGCAGGCAGATTCTAACCTCAATCTCACTTTGTAACATTCATCTTGCTTCTGGATAAAGAACTGTCCCTTTTTTTATTTTTCATCTATATATTCATTGGAGTTACTTTTATACTTCACTGGAATTATGTATTGGCTACCATGACAGATATTATCCCATTCTAGGATGTCAAGTTGTTTTGTGTTCCATGTAAAGTTAACTGTTTCTAGAAAAGTCAGGTAATGAAGTCAGTGTTACTACTTTTTTGGTATTGCAGGTATTAAAAGGGCTTGAGGCATCTACAAGCTGTGTTGATGACATGGATGAATGGTTGGGCATCTTCAATGTGAAACTGAGACACATGAGAGAAGACATTGAGTCGGTAGGGAGATCTATAGATGTATTCATTAACAGTGTGTTTTTCTGGTGATTCCTGCATGGCTGAAAATTTTATCGACCAGGATAACATTGTGCTTCTTTATTAGTTGTGTTTTAACTTCCCTTGATTGATATCAGATAGAAACTCGCAATAACAAGCTGGAGATGCAATCTGTAAATAATAAAGCACTTATTGAGGAACTAGATAAGCTTGTCGGGCGCTTGCGTGTTCCTTCGGAGGTATATTATGATTATTATCCATCATTTTCGTTGCGTGATTTGATAATTGTTATGAATCTGGTCATACGGTTGGGCCATAGTTTTTCACTGATGACATTTCATTCATTGTAGTATGCAGCATGTTTGACAGGAGGTTCATTTGATGAGGCTCGCATGATTCAAAATGTAGAAGCTTGTGAATGGTTAGCTAATGCTTTACGTGGTCTTGAAGTACCTCATTTGGATCCTACCTATGCGAACATTCGAGCCGTATGGTTTTTTCTTTATCGCTCATCTCTTTTCAGTTGACAATGTTTGCTCAGATAGTATATGCCTGAGCTATTTCTCATGTTAGTTGTAACTGGTACTCTCACAGGTCAAAGAAAAGCGGGCTGAACTTGAAAAATTGAAAACTACATTTGTTAGAAGAGCTTCCGAGTTCTTGCGAAGTTACTTTGCTAGTTTGGTGGATTTCATGATAAGCGACAAAAGTTATTTTTCACAGGTAATTCTTAGGCTTGTGTTGTTTTGATGTTGACCAAAAACCTAATTTTTAGACTATGAGTTTTAACTTTTTCTATAATAACATTACAGCGGGGGCAGTTGAAAAGGCCTGATCATGCTGATTTGCGGTATAAGTGCAGGACGTATGCTCGGCTTTTGCAACATCTAAAGGTCAACTTTTAGACAGAGATTAATTAAAGAGAAAAAAAAAGATTTAAGTGCCACTCATTTGTTATGATTTTTGCTACATTATAGCTTCTATTTTTTCTTGCTTCGCTGAATTTTATGTCTGCATTTGCAGAGTCTTGATAAGAATTGCCTGGGTCCACTCCGGAAAGCATATTGCAGCTCTCTTAATTTGCTTCTTCGTCGAGAGGTCAGAAAATAACCTTGTATTCTATCGTCTGGAGGCCACTTATGTGTACATTAAATCTGTAGTCCATACAAGTGATTCAAATTTTAAGGGGAAAAAAACTTTTTCTACAGTTCCCATAGCGGCTTGCTCCAACTCGTTAAGTTTAGTGCTTGCCTAATTTCCTGCAACTACATGCAACCAGAGATCTTCCTTTCATCTTTTGTTGAAATTTCCATACCACCCTTCCTCTGCCACCTATTTACTCCTCACCCATTCTGCATCACCTTAATTGCTTTTGTGGTGACGCCTTTTTTCTATTGCTCTTACGGAGGAAATATTTATGTAAAACTATGTACCTCTATCAGAAGATGAGTATTTTTTGAGAATGCCTCTTTGGTGGTGAAGCTTTATGATTGATGATATATTTTGACGTTTACAGGCTCGTGAATTTGCAAATGAGCTCCGTGCTAGTACAAAAGCATCAAGAAATCCCACTGTGTGGCTTGAAGCTTCCACGGGGTCCTCTCAAAATGTGAATGCTGCAGACACTTCTACAGTTTCTGAAGCTTATGCTAAAATGCTGACAATTTTTATCCCACTCCTTGTAGATGAGGTAAGATTTTAATGCTATAAAAATTTGTAATCTAGGGGTGTCTTTTCTCCTTTTGAAGATTTATTCTCCCGTGGCTTATACTGCAGAGTTCCTTTTTTGCACACTTCATGTGCTTTGAAGTTCCTACACTTGTTCCTCCAGGAGGTGTTGGTAATGGTAGTAAGTCTCGGAACAATGATGATGACACCAACGATGACGATTTGGGGATTATGGATATTGATGATGATGATGATGATGGAAAATCTGGTATGTCTGTATTTATAGATATACACTTTACCAGTTTGACTTTCATTCCAACTTCAACTTGTTTATGTATTTCTGCCCTTTATATTAGGAAAGAATTTTTCCAGTCCTAGTTCTCATTCCTTGATGTCTTGCACGCTATTTCATATTGTAGGTAAAAATTCAGCAGAGCTCACTGCGCTAAATGAATCTCTTCAGGATTTGCTTGATGGAATCCAGGTGATGACACAAAGATATTGCAATTGCTCTGTCTTGCAATTACATTGTTGACATCAGAAAGGTTCCCGTTGATTTTTGCAGTGTTGAATGTATTGACAATTGGGCATACGTGGTATCAATGACTAGTCTAGAGGTCTCTTGCCTGGATGGCAACCCTTTAAACCAATGTGTTGAATGGGGAAAGTTCGTTATCAGAGAGCTGTCTCAAATGTTTATTAGAAATCTTGAAATTTCAACAGATTTAGGTCTCTGCTTAATTTTGGATATACGATAATCTGCATTTTTAGGATTATACATAAAAGGTTCCACATGGACTCTGGCAATGCATTGGGCTTATAAGATTGATCCTTTGCGTTGCATATCTCTTCAATTGGGTTTTTGGTTACTTTTACTTGAGCACTTTTAGGTGGTTTGATCAGAATTACTCCAAAGTTCCTGGTCGTGACTTGCAGTTGTTCCCTCTTTTTATGAATTTCAGGATGACTTTTATGCCGTAGTAGACTGGGCTTATAAGATAGATCCTTTGCGCTGCATATCTATGCATGGGATTACTGAGCGCTATCTCTCTGGTCAGAAAGCTGATGCAGCTGGTTTTGTGCGTTTGTTGCTTGGGGACCTGGAGTCGAGAATTTCCATGCAGTTTAGCCGTGTGAGTTTTATCTTCAAACTGAGATAATTCACTGCAATTTGCATTCCGACTTTGACCTCAACTTATGTGATTTGTGAACAATGACTCAGTTTGTTGACGAAGCTTGTCACCAAATTGAAAGGAATGAGCGCAATGTGCGGCAGATGGGTGTTTTATCGTATATCCTAAGGTAATGTGGTTTCAATTCAAACGTTTCTATGTGATGCTCTCATTTGTGGAATCAACATGACCTATAACTAGTCATGAGATATAGGTAAAGAATTGGATTATAATTTTCCATTTTAATGTCACTTCATAAGCGGTAACGGGTCTGCTGCTTGCAAAATACTGATCATTTTAGTGCAAATGAATAGAATGAATTTCAACACAATTGTAAATTTTAGTTTTGTTGTAATTGTCCTTTTGGATATGAATTTCAACACAATTGTAAATTTTAGTTTTGTTGTAATTGTCCTTTGTTCCTATCCAGAAAACAATTGTAATTTTTATTGCCGTTGTTTTCTTCAAGTTATTTTGCATCTTTTGCTGTTTGCTGCAGCTGTGATATCTTATGTCATTCTTTGCTATGCACTATATTCTATGCCAGCCCTTATTTCTTTTAAATTTTTTAATAAAATCTCGTTTCTAATCATATCTAGTATGCGTGTGTGTGTATGGTGTATCTGTTTTATACTTTTGGTTTTATACTGTATTTGTTTTACATAGATTTGCTACCCTTGCGACACGGATGGAGCAGTACATTCAGGGACAATCCAGGGATTTGGTTGATCAAGCATACACAAAATTTGTGAGTCCTCAATTCGCTGCTTTTTTTTTTTTTTTTTTTTTAATGCACGTTTGGGAACAAATACTATATTGAGTTGGGATGGTTCTCGTTTTTATTGCAATTGGCATGCAGCGCAGTAGCATCCTGACAATCATAAATAATTTTAAGCATGTAATGCAGTAGTTCTTCTGAAATCTGTTCTTTTACCTAGTTGTTGAGGGGAAGCTTAAGTCCATGTTCAAATGTTCAATGCCATAACTAAAGTGTGCTTATGGAATCCATGAATCCTGTCGTTGGTCGCATGTGGGCACTTCTTCAACAGGTGCCTACATGAAAAGATGAGCCTAAAGCTGGATGGAACTTTAGTTGTCAGTCTATTAACAATATTTGCCATAAATTTCTGAAAGCAGAAATATTGCTTTCTGTTTTCTATATTGAAAAAAATAATCAGTACATTAAGGCTCCTAATTTATAATACAACTATGAAAATCAAATCTCCTAAAACTAAGGCCTAGAGATCAGGAAGTGATTTGTTTAAATTAAATCAAATTAGGAAATATTCTATCCTGAATCGGGAACCTTATCCCTAGCAATAAATTTGGGATTTCAACACGCCCCCTCAAGTTGGATCATATATGTTAATCATTTCCAACTTGCTTAAGAAATCATCGAATTTTTGTCTTGCGAGCCCTTTGGTGAAGATGTTTGCAACCTGATCTTGAGTAGGAACATAGGTCATGCAAATGATTCCCTTCTCCACCTTTTCTTTGATGAAGTGTCTATCCACTTTCACATGCTTGGTTCGGTCATGTTGGACTGGATTGAGTGATATATTAATTGCCGCTTTGTTATCACATTAGAGTAACTAGAGTTTAACCGAGAATTCTACTGTTACTTGGAGTTCTTCTAGTAGTTTCCTCAGCCATAGTGCTTCACATATTCCTTGGGCAACCGCTCTAAATTCTACTTCGGCACTGCTCCGAGCCACCACATTTTGTTTTTTGCTCCTCCAGGTTACTAAATTCCCCCATACAAAAGTACAGTATCCAGAAGCAGATTTCCTATCTTCAATTGAACCTGCCCAGTCTGCATCTGTATAGACTTCTATCCCTCTGCGGTCAGTCTTCTTGAAAAATAATCCTTTGCCAGGTGATCCTTTGAGATACCTGAGTATCTTGTATACCGCCTCCAAGTGAGCTTCCTTTGGCAAATGCATGTGTTGGCTAGCCACACTAACTGCAAATGCAATATCAGGTCTAGTATGAGACAAGTATATTAGCTTGCCTACTAGTCTCTTATATCTGTCTTTATCAACCAACTTCCCATCGTCCACAATCTTCTTCCCTACTTCAATCGGGGTGTCACTTGGTTTGCATCCAAGCATACCAGTTTCTGTGAGAAGATCAAGGACATATTTCCTCTAGGAGACACTAATTCTTTTCTTTGACCTAGCAACTTCCATTCCCAAAAAATACCTCATTTGCCCCAAATCTTTCACTTCAAACTCCGTAGCAAGAATACTCTTCAACCTCCCCATTTCTGCTACATTATCACCAATAAGGATTATATCATCCACATAAACTATTAGGATCGCCCTCTTCCCATCTTTGGCTTGTTTGAAGAACATAGTATGATCTGATTGACCCTGTAAATATCCTTGATCCTTTATCACTTTTGCAAACTTGTCGAACCATGCTCTTGGGGACTGCTTAAGGCCATAAAGTGATCTCTTGAGTTTACACACTCGCTTGTCTTCCTGCCCTTTGTTGAATCCCGGCAGCATGTCCATATAGACCTCATCTTCTAATTCTCCGTTCAAGAATGCATTCTTGATGTCGAGTTGCTGAAGGGGCCAATCCAGATTAGATGCCAAGGATAGAAGAACCCGAACCGTATTTAGCTTTGCCACAGGAGCGAATGTCTCGGTGTAGTCGATGCCATAAGTGTGTGAAGCCCTTGGCAACAAGTTGAGCTTTGTATCGTTCTACCGTTCCATCCGCTCTGTATTTAAGGGTAAATACCCACTTGCAACCCACTGTTTTCTTCCCTCTCGGCAGCTCCATTACATCCCACATCTCATTTTTCTTCAAAGCTCTCATTTCCTCCATGACAGCATTTCTCCACTCCGGAATGGCTAGTGCCTCCTGCACATTCTTTGGAATTTTTGTACTGTTGAGATTAGAGACAAATGCTCAGAAAACCATAGACAAGTTTTTTTGTGACGCAAACTTGGAGATGGGATGAAGTGTACATGATCATGGCTTTTTTCTGTGAGCTATGGGAACATCAATATCAGGAATTTCAGGGGTATTAGAGATACCTTCTTCTGTGATGGTCTCGGTCATACCTGGATCTATTACCGGGTTGGATTCTCTTGGTGCTTCAGAAGTGAGGTTGTCTTGATATTTTGACTTTGGCCTTCTTGAGTAGACAAGCAGCTCGCTGTTCTTTTGCTTTCCCACATCTCCCCCTGAGTTCAAGTGTCCTTCTGTATGTGGCATATTGGAATGAGAAGGAAAGGTGGTGGTGTTTTCGGTGTTTAGGATAGACTCAGAAGGAAGAAGTTCAAAGTCCACAAAACGATCTTCATTAGAGATCTCCCCTTGAAGAGAAGTTTTTTGGAAGAACGGAGTGCTTTCAAAGAAGGTAACATCAAGACTAACGAATACCCTTTTTGTGGAGGGGTCAAAGCATTTGTAGCCCTTCTATGTAGGGGAATAGCCAATGAGGACACACTTAGTAGCTCTAGGATCTAACGTACTTTGATTCTAGAGTGGACGTGAACAAATGTGGTACATCCAAACACCTTGAGGGGTAAAGTTGAGGGTAGGCGTGAAGTGGGAAAGGCTTTCTTTAGACTATTGAGTGGAGTTTCAAAGGATAGGACCCGACTAGGTAAGATAGGCAGATGTTAAGACAACATCTCCCCAGAACATTTTAGGCATATGGGCAGTAAACATCAATGCTCGGGCAACCTCAAGCAATTGTTTATTTTTTCGTTCGGCTACTCCATTTTGTTGGGGAGTGTCGACACAGGAACTTTGGTGAATTATTCCATTTGCCATTAGAAAATCCCCTAAGATAGTGTTAAAATACTCCGTCCCATTATATGTTCGCAAAATTTGAATTCGAGTTTGAAATTGCGTTTGAACACTTCACGGACATCCGTTTTGTGTTTCAGGAGGTAGACCCAACAAGTTCTACTATGATCATCAATAAATGTGACAAACCATTTTGTGTGAATACGAGTAGAAATACAAGGAGGACCCTATAGGTCACTGTTAATCATGGTAAATGATTTCAAAGGTTTGTACTTTGATTTTTTAAATGAAGTACATTGATGCTTTGCAAACTGACAAATTTCACATTGAAAAATGGAAATATTTTTTATTGGAACAAATAGAAGGAAACAAATATTTCATGTACTGGAAACTAGGATGACCCATTCTAAAATGCCATAACATAATTTCACTATTTCTAGAAGTAGATGCAGAATCACAAATTGCAGTTTGAAGTTGTCCACTCGCATGAGCCTCATCAATGTAGTAGAGTCCCTCATATTCTTTAGCACTGCCAATCATCCTCCCCGATGACGGGTCCTGAAAAACACAGTGAGAGGGAACAAATTTAGTAGAGCAATTGGAATCTTTTGTCAATTGGCTAATTGATAGTAAATTGCAAGACAAGTTTGGGACATGAAGGACGGATTCTAGGGTTACAGATCGGAGATTTTTACTGTCCCTTTTCCTGCAACTGTCGAAAGTGAACCATCTGCAATTTTCACTTTGATGTTGCCGGCACAGGGTGAGTATGTGGAAAAATATGATAATTACTGGTCATATGATCAGACGCACCAGAATCGACAATCCATAGAATTCAGTTTTGGGAAGTAGTGCTCAGGGCCTTTAAAAAATTACCTCTGTGGGCTAATGTACCAGAAGGTACGTTATTGGAGGACTGACCAGTAGATTGGAAATTTAAGAACATTCTATAAAGCTGTTCCATTTGTTCCTGGCTGAATGGAGTCTTGGCTTGAGACTCACTGCTGCTGGCATCCACTTCCTCTCCTTCTGATCATCAACTGAGGCTTGATATCCTCGATTTTTGTTCATCTGTCGTGGCTTCCAATCGGGTGGTTTTCCGTGCAAATCCCAGCAAGTATCCTTGGTGTGACCGTTTTTGTGATAGTGCTCACACCAGGGCTTTTTCCTTTGTTGGCTCTGGCTTGGTCCATTCGGCGCCCTCTTAGTCAGCAGTGCAGAGAATTCTGGTCCAGAACCAATCGGTCTAGAGGGGGCAGGGGTTTTCAACATTACTTTGCGCTTATTTTCTTCTCGTCTCACCTCTGAGAAGACTTCATGGATGGAGGGCAGCGGTCTCCGACCAAGGATCCTTCCCCTTACCTCATCTAGCTCACGGTTGAGTCCAGCCAGAAACTCGAAAACTCTCTCGTTCTCCAGCCTCTTCTTGAATCGCACACTGTCGCCAGGGCATTCCCATTCTTCTTCATAACTCAGATCGAGTTCCTGCTAAAGAGCCTTCATCTCTGTGTAATATTCGGTGACTTCCCTCTCTTCTTGCTTCATCTGCCATAACCAGGTTTTTATCTCGAAAATTTGGGTAGAATTCTCCACATCCAAGTATGTTTCTCGAACAGCATCCCAGACTTCTTTTGCGGTTGGTAGAAACATAGGTTTTTCCGATTGAAGGCTTCATTGAGTTGACCAGCCACGCGGTTACCATTGAATTTTTTGATTTCCACTTCTGTAGAGAAGCACCAGTGGAGGATGGTTTCTTTGTTTCACCGGTGAGGTACCCCAGTTTGCCCTTTCCATCGATCACCAATTTAATTGATTGATCTCATTCGAGAAAATTCTTCCCGTTGAGTTTCTCAACCGTGAATTGGAAGGTGGAGTTCTCAGATCCGTTCAACGCCATGGTGTTGATGACCTCTATCGCCGTCTCGCCTGTGGTCTCCTAGAACGTGGACTTCACCATCAATCGTCAAGGTTAGACACTCCTCGGCTCTGATACCATGAAAGCGGAAATATTGCTTTCTGTTTCTATATTGAAAAAAATAATCGGTACATTAGGGCTCCTAATTTATAATACAACTATGAAAATTAAATCTCCTAAAACTAAGGCCTAGATATTAGGAAAGTGATCTGTTTAAATTAAATCAAATCAGGAAACATTCTATCCTGAATCGGGAACCTTATCCCTAGCAATAAATTCGGGATTTCAACAATTTCTGCCGTTCCACTTCAACTAAAATTTTATGATTGTACTTGGACTATTCTTTGACAGGTTAGCATAATGTTTGTGACTTTGGAGAAAATTTCACAAACAGATCCAAAATATGCTGATATAATTCTTTTAGAGAACTATGCAGCATTTCAGAATAGGTATGCTTTTCTTTTTGTTTTTCAAATCTTGTATTTTCATGGAATGTGTTATTATCATTTGGGTCCCCTTGCTGAGTAAAAGCAGTTGCATGCAGTTTATATGACCTAGCCAATGTTGTGCCTACCCTAGCCAAGTTCTATCATCAGGCAAGCGAAGCTTATGAGCAAGCTTGCACTCGATATATCAGCACAATTATTTATAGTGTGAGTATTCAGTAATTTGTTTATTCCTCAATTCTTGTTAACTTCTATCCCATTTCATAATTATTTTCATTCTTCCCACTTTTTTATTTACGTTCTATGTTTCCTCCTGTGGGATGCTGGTGTATATTCACTTTGTTTAATCAGAGAAAGAACTGCTAGTACAAATACACCTGAGATTAACACTACAGCAAAAACTAGAACATGAAAACAAATAGGTTAAAAACCAACGCCTTCCTAAAGGTGGAAAATTTTTAATAAAGCTTTATAAAGACGCTTCAATTTTCCAGAATCCACATGTTTGAAGAATCATCAGTTTTTAGCAGTTGAATGATACAGGACTAGATCAATACACCATCATCAGTATTTTTTCAGCTGTAATTCTTATCTCTGTTAAAAAAATAAAAATAAAAAATAAAAAATAAAAAATAAAAAATAAAGAAAAGAAAAGAAAAGAAACTGTTATACTTATCTTTCTAAAAGTGATGAATGTTAACCTTATTTTGTTTATTTATTTAATAAATTTTTCCTTCTATAATTCCATTTCAACATTATACTTTGTACATAAACATTCTCATCCAGTTGTCTATCTGCAGCAATTTGAACGGCTTTTCCAGTTTGCCCGAAAAATAGAGGATTTAATGTACACGATCACACCAGAAGAGGTTAGTTACACCTTGTTAGATTTGTATGTATGTTCAACGAGATGCTTGTTTGCGACATTTTATTCTTCTTATTTAAGCACTTTTATTTCTGCTGTAAGGATTGTCCAGTTGTACAATTGGCTTTTGAAATTGTAAATGTTCAACAATGAACTGTTGGCACAAAAAATTGCTGTTCTATGATGTTGATAAAGGAGTCTGCTAGGACACTGTTGCATTCTTGTTAGTGTCGTTTATGTAGATATGGTTTATTTGTCAGTGATCAACTTTTCCTTGGTTTATACTTTGATAAAATTTTCCTGGGTTTATACTTTGCCTACTTCAGATCCCTTTCCAGCTTGGATTGTCAAAAATGGATCTGCGGAAGATGTTGAAAGCCAGTTTAACTGGGGTAAGTTTGTTGTTTTTTCCCCAAACATCCCAAATTTCTCTTTCGATCATCTTACTGTAATATGTTGGTCGCTTCTGTATAGGTTGATAAGAATATCACTATGATGTATAAGAAGTTGCAGAAGTACTTGACATCGGAGGAACTTTTGCCTTCTTTATGGGATAAATGCAAGGTAAGTTGTCCTGATGCTTTTGAATCATGACATCACCCTGTAATGTGTAGCCAATAGGGAAGGGAGAGGCAATTTAGCTGCTAATAGGCAGAATACCTAAAATTTTCCATTCACGTGCAGGACATGTTATTGTGGGTGATAGCTTATTGCCTTCTCCATCTGGGTTTAAGCCAATTGCTAGCCCATAGGTTGTCTAGATTGAACTACGAAATGCCTGTATTAGATTTAGATGTTGCCATACAACAAAAGCAGTACTAGGAAGACATAATAGGAAGATGTGATTAATTTTAGTGGGTGTTACCATTCATTAACAAATAGATAAAGAAAAGGAAAAAGAAAAATCTATTTCTGACACGGAGGTTTAGAGGAACTTTGGAGGGTGTTACCATTCATAAACAAATAGATAAAGATAAATAAAAATCTATTTCTGACACGGAGTTTTAGAGGAAGCAATCAGAGAACATATTTATTAACACTATTTTAATTTTTAATAGAAGGAGTTTCTGGACAAGTATGAAAGTTTTGCTCAACTGGTTGCCAAGATTTACCCCACGGAGACCATCCCATCTGTAGAGGAAATGAGAGTACTTTTAGCTTCCATGTAAAGAGGGAATTTGCCTATTATATATAATGTTGATAGCCTTTTTTTTTTTTTAAAGTACGGATGTGTTTTTGAGTTATGTTGTAATTCATTCTAAACATTTTATTTTCTATAATTTGATTTATTAGTCAAATTTTTGGAACCAGTTAATTGGATAGTAACGAGTGTATGATGTATCGCTGGTACAATGTATATGATGTTTAATTTATATGGCTCCCTTTTGTTGTTTCCTTATATACTGTCCTGACATTGCGTATTGAAGGTAGCATATGGTGCAAAGAGCCATAGATAACTTTTATGGTCACTAGATTGGGAAATGATCTGAAGTTGAGCCTAGAAGAGTAGGCAGATCAGAATATTCCTTACCAGCACGTTAGATTTGTTATGTACCTAACATGCGCAAAGCTTTAGTCAGGCTTTTGATCACGAGTCTCGTGGCAACCCGTGTTTGGTGCTTTGCAAAAGAAACCATACGTGCAAAACTTTCTAAATGAGAAGATAAACCACCAAGAGTCAGGGCTGTGAAACAAGGAGCGGACTCCACTCACAACCCGATTCACCTCTATTTCACAACCCGATTCTCCGAGTCGAGTTGTTGTGGGGCCACCTCTATTTCACATCCCGATTCTCAGAGTCGAGTTGTTGTGGGGCCTTCTCTATTTCACAACCGGACTTGGGAGAGTCAGGTTGTTTAGAGCCGCTATTTCTAATTACGTTGTGCAGAAGTGATAGCGATGTTTAATGCTGATAATTTTCATAGGGCGTGTTTAGGCTATGGTATCTTTGTGAATTATAACAGCTTGTGCAAATGGGACAAAAGTTGCAGGATAACGGACCTCGTCAGCGCCAACATCTCATGTGGAACCAACTTCTGGTTAAAGCTTTTGAGAAAGTAAAGTTCGGAAGCACACTTAATCTATTCACATAATCAAAAGTTTCAAAGAACACTAGGTCAGTACATGCACCGTCCAAGTCCCGGATAAAAGTTGCCTGCTCATCTTTAACTTCAGCCTTTTTCACTTCATTGGGGGAAAGAAAAAATCAAAGAAAAAAATGTTTAGACTTTCACTTGCCATCAAGAAGATATTCTTTTGCTTCCGTCGGGGAAAAAGGCAAAAAAAAAAGGAAAAGATATTCCTACCAGTTAAAAGAAGAGGACATCTTCCATTTAAAGTTTGCCTTTCTTCATTCCGACAGATTGCACTACAAATTTAAGTGCGGACTGCTGGTGATGGAATTTCCCAAGTGGCAAAGGAAATTTTGTTTTGTGGAACTGGCCGATGCTAATAAAAAGTACATCAAACATGGTGATGAACTTATGTTAAATGTACGTGGATGTAGGTACCGCCACTAATAGAATGTGAGGATCAACAAGTGAGGTCCATCTTTTATTAATGATAGTACTTAACATCAATAGTGTCTCTAAGTATTTCTCTTAATAATTAAGTTATTTACATTTTTGTACCTTTTATTTTAAATTTATTTAGATACTATACTATTAATTTTTGATCTCATTACATGTGTACAATCTAATTACGTTTAATATACAAAACCATACTTTTACTTAGTCAACCTTTGATTTTGACTTACAAATTGACCAAAACAACCTTAAAAAGGAAAAAACTAAAGAAATTATGATTATGTTTATTCCACAACTCAAGTCGTGTATATAAGAGAAAACCATTATAGTAGAAAAGTTGAGTTTGAATTTTTATGAGAAAAAAATACTGTAATTATAGAATTTGAATTGTGACTTAAGTTGTGAAAAAACAACACCTACAGAATTTTAAAAAAGAAACAAAAACGCATAATTTGGAACTAAATTCCTAAGGGAAAAAAAATTATGAAGCTAAACTTAAAAGAAAAATCCTCGTCTCAATTCCCACCCCCGACGCCTCCCACTCCCACCATCATCTTTACTAATGTCCACGCCTCAGCATCCCCACTGCCATCCACGCCATTTACTATCCTGACTTAGCTGCCTTTCCCCTTTCCCTCTCATATGATGGAAAATTAATAAGGAACCCATTGAGTATTAGAGCATGTGCTACGTAGGTTATCTATCGGAAGTGTTGACGTCAACGTTAAGCCGTTTAAATTTACTGATAGAATAAGCTTGAGAGCAATGAATTCTCCACTCCAGTAACCTCTCCACATACATTACACATGGCACACAAAACCCTTAGCACCCACACACTCATATATAGACATGCTTCACCCTTAACCATATGGGCTCATATTTAGTGGTCCTATTGAGCTTAAATCAATCGTGCTTGAGAGGTTCTTTAATTTAATAAGCTGACTAAAATACTTGCGAGAGTTGAGAAAGAGAGTTCATATACCTTAAATTAGTATACATCTTATTATGAATCAATATTTAATATACATATATAATTATATTCTTAATAATAATGTTATTCATAATATGATTTAGTTCATATTAAAATGAATTATTATGATTATATCAGTTCCCATAAAAATATTCTAAAATCATATTATTTCATGATTGACTTGGATAAGAAGGTTTTTCTTTTTGGCTATTTCAGTGCATAACTTTTAGATTTTTTATTATTATTATTATTTTTATTTTTATTTTTATTTTTTGAGTTTGTTGTTGGAACTTGGGCAGTTCTGTTCTGGTTTTTTATCATTTGGGTACTGAAGATTTTCCTTCTTTAGTTTGTGAAATTTGTTGGCCGTGGTGGAATTTGAGAGATGGGTTTTGTTTGGCTTTGGTTAGTGCTTTTGAGAATCTAAGATCTAAGTACGTAGCTTGCAGAGGGTTTGGAGGAAGTAGTCAAGTAGAGAGCTTTGGTTGGGCAAATTAAATACACATTTAGTTCATGAATTTAGAACTATGATTTAAAATTGTTCTCATTTTACGTGTATTTTTTATGAGAGAAATACTGTAAAAAATTATAAATCATAATTGACAATCAATGATGAATATAAAAAATAAACATCCCATAGAAATGAGTTCTTGATTTTGATTTAGTTTTGGTGTACGGAGCTTATACCTATGGCTGCCACAGGGTAGAAAGAATTCAGTTTGGGTTTGGGGTGGGGGAGAGGGTGGGTCGTGCATAGCATACAAGAGAGTTTTTAGAATTTTCATTTTTTTTTTATGTAAGGGTCTTTTAGGTATTTTATAAGTCAAAATCAATTGTTGAGTGATACATTCATATATTAAATTTGTTTTTAATGTAATTTTTTTAATGAGATCAAAAAATGTATATTTTTTGAATAAACACAAAATTTTATGGGATACAAAATATAAAATAACCCCTAATTAATTTGATATGGTGTCAATTATGGAGCCATAAGGAACTAGAAAATAACTTTTTTACGGACGATTTTTTCTTTTTGGGTTTTTTTCTCTGACAAATTGTAGGAATAATAATAAAAAAACTCTCCCTTTTCAATGATGTTATGTATTTCTCTAATATGATCAGAAAAATTAAACTATCAGTAGTTTTTATTTTTTAACCGTTAAATTTGTTTTATAAATAATATGTTTAATATATTTTTTAATTTGATCTGATTTTGACCAGATCTAACGGTTATAGAATGATACTACCAATAAAAAAAACCTATCAAAGAAGTCCCTTTATTCTATATTTTCAGAAATATTTCATCTACTTTTGTAGTTTATAAATCGTGTATAAAACATCGCATGTGAAGTATTATGGTTGAAAAGATGCAAGAGAAGCTTTTGTTTCTAAATTTTTGGGGAATGTCTAATTATAGGACTTCGAATTTAAAAATGTGTACTATTTTTTATTTATTTATATAACACTTCTGAAATGGGACCTATAATGACTTCTCTAACTCTGTATATTGAAAAAAAAATAGAAACAATAATAAATCTTTAAAAAAGGAAATATAATGAATAAATCTTGAGACAAAATATTGAGTTGTGATTATTTCCTTTTTAAATATAAAGGTCAAATGCTTTATTATTAGATAATGCCATCTTTACTAATTCATTTTTAAAAGGGAAACGTTCTTTGAAAAAAGGACCCAAATAAACCTGTGAAAAATAAAACAATAAAGAATCAAAATCACTTTTCATCACTTAACCCCGCAAAAAAAAAATAGCCTCAATCAATTCAAACGTCAAAAAGCACAAAAATTAGCCTAAACCCTATTCTCACATCTTTGAATAGGGGTTTGGGGGTTCTTTATTTTTTTTAAAAAAACTAATATAATTAATCTATTGATCTAAATATGGTAATTTGTACAATCATGAAGATTTATGTATAAATGCTTAGTAGATGATTTTTGAATTTCTTTATTGTAGGGATTTATCCTTATGATAATGAATGTATAGATGAGAATTATAGTGATATATAATTTCCAATCCATCGCTCATTATAACAACCTGTTCATTATGATAATGGTTTTCGGATTTCTTTATGATAGTAACATGTTTACTATGATGATGTATAAATAGATAAATGTTAGTAGTGATATACACTTTTCAATTCATTGTTTAAAACAAAAGAATAAATTGATCACATTTTATTATGACAATGATCGCTGCTTCATTATGATAATGAATATACATATATAGATTATTGAATATCGATTTTTGATGTGTATTTTTTCTTTTAAATGGCTCATGTCAAAATTTTATTTCAATTTCTTCATGATAAAGATAACCTCGTTATAATTATATTTTGTTATTGTTTGTACATTTATTATATATAATGAAATTGGTACAAAATAATATTTGGTCATTATCATAAACATTGTAATTTAATAATAATGATGTACCCTTTAAACTCATTAGATTATATATATATATATATATATATATATATATATATATATATAAACAATGTGGTCTAATGGTCATTATGATTGCATAAAAAGTTATTCTTCTATTTGTGTTTGGATATTATCTCTCTCCCTCTTTTTTTTTTTTTTTTTTTTTTTTTTACGAGGGTAAGGATGTATTGTTTATGATAAACCATTATCCAATCCATGTTATGAAATTGTACTTTAAACGCTTTAAGATAATGAAATTGCTTTTGGGTTTCGCCGTGATATTATGTTTTGTTATGATAAGGATGATATCACTATGGCAAGGAATGAACTGAAAAGCTATTCACTAATCACTATGATATATATATATATATACACACACACACACACACACACATATTTTTATGTGCGCCAAACATTGAACCCTACAACAAATAAAGATAATTCGAATAAACAACGAATGAAAAATAAAATGAAGACAAACTTGAAAAAATTCAATCACCATAACCACCGTACAAAACGAATGGTTGACTCAAAAGGTTAACAACACAACAAGCGCATCGCGTAAAGAAAAATAGAGATTCAGGGCCGTTTAGTTTGCTGATTTGAGTTTTTAATTCGAGTTGAGATGTGATTTTATGTGAGAACTTTTTACTGTAGCAAAAAAGTTAGATGTGATTATTTGTGAGAGCTTTTTACTGTAGCAAAACTCAAATTCTAAACTCGAATCAGCAAAATAAACAGGGCCTCAAAATATCAAAGTGGATGAGGAAACGAAAGAAGACAATCTTATAAGCGTTAAATCAAATGATTATAGAGATATGATATAATTGTCAGGAAAGAAAAGGGCATCAACTAAAGAATATGCTTAAGAAAAAGGTAAGGCAACTACAAAAATATGTCCAAAAATATTAAATAGAGATATAATCCATATCATAAGTCTTATATTTTAAAAAATTTAATAGTTTTCAAATATTATTTATAACGAGGCATTTTTTGGATCAAGGCTCTTAGAATAGACAATTTGTGAAATTATTTTTAATTTTTTTTGGTCTATATTATTTGCATCATAAAATTGTTTCTCCAATAAACAATAAATATGATAATCATATTCATACATCATTGCAATTACACGTGCTTTTTTTCTTTCTAGCATATAATAAAAATGTGATAAAACAGACAGTTGTCAAGATATTTTTTTTATTTATGTCATTCACCTTTTTTACTTTTTCACTTACTTGTTACATATTATTTTTTGATACTTCGAGCTTAAGAAAAAGTAATTAATTTTTATTTTCTTGTATGCCCATTATTTTTTGTACTTTTTACTTGTTATTTATGCTTTTTTATTTTCTTTTTTTTTCCTTTTATAACATTCACTTACTTTTCACTTACTTGTTACTTACTATTTTGTCTTATTTCGAGCTTAAAAAGACAACAGTTAATTTTATTTTCATTTATACCCTTCACCTTTTATACTTTTTACTTATTTGTTATTAACGTTTTTCTCTTACTTAGAGTTTAAGAAAAAAATGATTTAATTTGTGTTTCTATTTATACCATTCATCTTTTATACATTACGCCTTTTATCTTTTATTCTTTTACTTGTTTTTTATCTACTCTTTCTTCTTACTCATAATTTAAGAAAAAGTGGTTTCATTTTTATTTTCATTTATGCCCTTTATCTTTTGTACTTTTTATTTACTTATGATCTAGTCTTTTCTCTTTCTTAGAGTTTAAGAAAAAGTGGTTTAATTTTTCTATCCAATTATACTCTTTATTTTTTGTACTTTTTTTACTTGTTATCCACTCTTTCTTCTTACTTAGAGTTTAAAAAGAAGTGATTTAATTTTTCTTTCTATTTATACCCTTACTTATTATTTATTTTCTCTTATTTAGAACACAATAAAAGTGGTCAAATTAAATATTGTATTATAATGACCAGATGATAGTTAGAACTTTTTGTTTTTAGTATAAAATTATTTGCTTAATAAACAATAAATATAATAGTTAAATTTATGCTTTATTGCAACCGTGCCTATTTTTACCGGTTGTTAATACGAGCCAAATATAAAATAAAAAAAATTGAGACTCTTTTGGAGCCGGTCCCATAGAGAAACGAGAAAAAAAGAAAAGGAGAGAGTGAGTCGATCAGAATTTCGGGATCTTATCCGGGCGCATCACTGGGTTTCCAACCCTGAAACTTAGTCCCCAGATTCGTCTCGTCGTAGCCTTCTATATGGTGGTGCTTTCATTGAAGCATATCGTACACTCTTTAAAAGTGGGGTGCCGTTACTTTGGGCTATTGTCTCTAACATGTTCATCGGATGGTGCTCGTGCTTCCTTGGCGTTTTGTTTCGTGCGGGGGTAGACTTCTCTTGGAGGTAGTGTTTTCAATTATCGACAGTGGCTACAGAGGGTGAGTTTCACTTGCAATTTTACGCTGTTTGCTCAACCTTGTCATATCTCCTTCAAAGTCATATGCCTTTCCTAGTAGTGTTCTCGCCGATTACCTCCTCGCTAAAGTCGCTTGACAACAGGTCTTGGGGTCTTTTTATTTTTATTTTTGGTGGGTTTTTACTATAATAACCAGGGTTTTCACTCTGTTGTCTTTGTTTGTTTTTTATGTTTGTTAGACTGGTGTCATGGTGATGTTTGGTGTAGCTTTAGTATTACGATGTTTTGTCCTTTCATCACTCAAAAGTTTATCTCGCTGAGAGAGATTTTATTAAATAGAATTTTAAGTGTGCTTGATTTTAATGTACCGAGATATTCTTTTGTTTTTTTGGGTCTTAAGTGTACGTCTGTTTTTCCACTGGGTTATTAATCTTGTATTGTATTTGTTACTGTGGTTTTGTTTAAATGCAGGTTCTCTGATTTATGGGTTTTATTTAAGAAAAAAAAAAAAAAAAAAAAAAAAAAAAAAAAAAAAAAACAAATAAACTTCTCTTTTACCTGCCTAATCGCATTCGCAGGAAAGAAAAAGTCTCGTAACAGAAAAATGCGTAACACGTCACCATTTTCCATGTAAGCTTATTTCCACGCACGATGGTACTAGCTTCGTCCGTTGTCGTCAAAAAAAAAAAAACCAAATAAACTTCTCTTTTACCTGCCTAATCGCATTCGCAGGAAAGAAAAAGTCTCGTAACAGAAAAATGCGTAACACGTCACCATTTTCCATGTAAGCTTATTTCCACGCACGATGGTACTAGCTTCGTCCGTTGTCGTCAAGTCAATGAACGAGATGTTACGTCCACATCACAACCGTTCATTGACCTCTCAATCAACGGTGACGATGAATACTAAGCTGCATTAATTTCTCCCTCTAATTTCTCACTCCTATATTTCTCTTTCATTGACTTGGGAGAGTTTTCCTTCTCTTCAATCTTTCAGAAATTCCAATTCCTCTGCGTTTTCCGAACGCACCTAAAACCCTAAATTTCGATCATGGAATGCTCAGATGACAAGGCCTTCTTCGACAGAGAAGACGAAAACAGCGAGCGAAGAACACCAAACTACGCGATCCTCAACGAAGCAGAGATACGGCAACGACAGGAAGACGATATTCTCAGTGTTTCTATGGCGATTTCGGAGCCGAGAGCCGCCGCGATCGTCCTCCTCCGCCACTTCAATTGGAACCTCAGCAAGCTCTTCGACAAGTGGTTCGACGACCAAGATAGAGTCCGGGCCAGTGTCGGCCTTTTTCCGATTCCGATCACTCAATTCCCCTCCGATCATCGTCTGATCACTTGCGGAATTTGCTTCGAGAATTTTCACGATACGGTCGCTGCTTCTTGTGGCCATCCATTTTGCAGAGCTTGCTGGGGACGCTACATTGCGAAGTCGATAAGCGACGACGGTCCCGGCTGCTTGCTGCTGAGGTGTCCCGCTCCGTCGTGCGCCGCCGCTGTCGGCGAGGACATGATCGGATTGCTGGCGGCGGATCACGCTGACAAGGAGAAGTACTCGCGGTACCTGCTGAGGTCTTACGTGGAAGACAATTACCGGAGGAGAAAGATCAAGTGGTGTCCTGCTCCTGGCTGCGATTACGCCGTGGATTGTTTGGATTCTGTTGGTTTTTCTAAAGGTTTCGATGTTTTTTGCCGTTGTTCGTACTGCTTCTGTTGGAACTGCAATGAGGAAGCTCATCGTCCCGTCGACTGTGACACGGTGGCGAAATGGACGTTGAAGAACAAGGATGAGTCGGAGAATGTGAACTGGATTCTCGTCAACACCAAGCCGTGTCCGCAGTGCCAGCGGCCGATTGAGAAGAGCCACGGATGCAACCACATGAAATGCGCCGCACCATGCAAGTACGAGTTTTGCTGGCATTGCCTCGGAGAGTGGTCGGCCAAAACTTTCCATTCTTGTAACCAATACCTGCAGGAGGGAGCGAACAACGACGCCGAGATCGAGAGAAGAGAGATTGTGAAGGCTTCATTAAGCAAGTACACGCATTACTACGAGCGTTGGGCTGCCAATTTGAAGTCGAGGCAAAAGGCCGAGGAGGATTTGAGGATGTTGCAAGCTAAGCATTTGGACAAGTTGAGTTTCAACTATGGCCAGCACAAGCCGTTTTTGAGGTTCATAACGGAGGCATGGCAACAGATAATTAGGTGTAGAAGAGTTTTGCAATGGACATATGCGTATGGGTACTATTTCCCCGAGGATCAGTGGGCAAAGAAGCGGTTTTTTGAGTACTTGCAAGGAGAGGCAGAGTATAGCTTGGAGAGGCTTCATGATTGTTCGGAGAAAGAGCTTGAAAAGTACATCAATGGTGAAGGGTCGGTTCAGGATTTCATTGACTATCGTGGGAAGCTGGCTGAACTTACCTCGGTGATTGGGAATTACTTTAAGAATTTGGTGAAAGCGTTGGAGGATGGCCTATCCGAAGTGGAGCCACGTCCTTGGTCATGTGAGGTGTGTTCTTTTGCCAACTCGTTTACTATGAGATGCCATATGTGTTTTCATTGTCCAACGACCGTGAAGATGTAATAATCCTCGGAGGGGGTGTTTTGTTGTGTATAGGATCCAGATTTCCGAAGGTACGGTTGGTTGGTTGGCTAACTTTTCTCCTTGGCTAAATAATTGAGAGGTGAACATTCAGAGGGAATATTTTAATGCTTTTTTTTTCCGCTTCTAGTTTGCCTCTTAGGTAGAAGGACGTGGTCTTGCCCGTATAGGTGTGTTTTTATATCTATGTAAATACTTTACGAATCGTTGGCATAAGAGAGAATACGGTTCATAGGTAAGTGATACTCGAGTCTTGCAGTTGTTTAACAGGTGACCGAGTGTTTAATCCTGTTTATTAATCCCATGTACTCAAATAGAGGTTTTGTCTTGCCAACAATAACCCTTTTTGTTTTGGCAATTTACTTTCTTACTCAACTACTTAGATCAAAAGGACGATTCTTTCTTGTCCATGGCAACTTCAGCAACTATAAAATTCTCTAAGCAATTTATATTACAAGAATGACTCTTGCCCGCCAGGAAATACCATCAGATTAATAATTGGGGAGGGAAAAAACAAAAGAAAGCAATACATTTCTCTCATGCAGTTTGAAATTTCTGCTATAAGGTTGTGCCCCCACCATCTGACATAAGAGATGCAGCAGCGGCGGCGGCAGTAGGAACAACCCCAGTCGAAATGCCCGGTTTTGATAAATGCAGAAGCCTGAGAAATCAATAAAATAAGTCTTTAACATGATGTCAAAATGTAAAATAAATTACTACAATTTTAGAAGAAGCATCTTTAACCTACATTTTGTTTCTCCTGATCCTTTTGCACTGTAAAGGGCTACCGATTCACTATGTTCACTTGAGGTTTAGGAAAAATGGTCTTAAAAGCAATCCCTATTATGAATGAATTATCTTACTGTACATTATTTCACCGACAGATATTCAAATTTTGAGAGTCGTGATCCCTAATCATGCCTTCATAGTATGCAAAATAACAGCAGCTACGCATACGCACAAAAACTACTCTGGCAGGTTCTGAAAAGTATCCAGGGGAAAAAAAAAAGGAAAAGAAAAGAAGCCTTCCAAAGAATATTGTTAAGACCTTGGATCATAGTTAGTGAAAGGAGCTCTTACGGGGCTAGATGTTCGCAAAAAGATGATACTGCAGCAACAACTTCAGAATAATTTTCAGAGGTTGCTGGGGCTGTCACTTCAACCAGTTGTATTCCAGGAGTCACAGGCACAGCCTCATCGGTAGCATGTAGTTTTAGCATTTTATTAACCGATGATACAGTGACGGTAATTTGAGCACCTCTTTGGAAATGGAAGGCAAATCCCACTTTCAGCAGCTCATATTCCAACTTGTAACCAAGTGAATAAAACAAGCGAAGAACATTCTTGCTTGCTTTGCTTTCAACTGTGTTCCTAACGAGAACAGAGATCTGCTCAGCACCTGCACCCCTCATCGAACCTCCTATGTGCCTCACAGTCCTAAAGGATTCAACTTTTTTATGAGTTTTATCTTTTCTAAGCATAAACAACAAACAATAAATCTGAGAAGAAGAAAAGCCACATTCACCATGTTGGTTCAGGCTGTTCAAGGTCGCATAGAAGTCGAACCTCTGAAGGTACAATTCCTACAAAAGAGACGCACTAATCTCTTAGCAAACCAGACGGCTCTCTCAACTAAAATAATGGAAATCTATATGACAAGCAACTCAAATGGATCTAAATCTGCATGCAGATATAGTTAAGCAATTATAAATACTTTGGGTACTTGGATAAATGCCAAAATGCTTTATTGGAAAGTGTTGAAAAGTGAGTAAAAGAAAAACATTGGATAATCACTCACCAAGGGTTGGGCCATTTTTAAGGCATATTTCATGGATCCTTAAACGTTCTCTATGAACACCACAGAGACCCTGAAGAAGAATCTCTAGCGCCTCAACATGCTGCAGCAGATGAATCATACGTTAAAAATCGCGGAAGGGTCTTGTTGAGGCATCTTTTCAACCAAATTTAAACACACAAAACACAGGCAAGGCTTGATCAGGCTTCTATTTTGCAAGAAAAAAAAAATTACAAATTTTGTAAAAATGCTTCTTTGTTTTTCCTTCTTTTTCCTAGGTACAGTCTTACAGATACCCTTTTTTCTTTTTTTCTCCCTTTCAAAAACCTAGCTGCTTCAGTTACTAATTCCTCTTCCCTTACCCTTTTTTTTTTCAAACAAATTATTTAACCAAAAGTAAATACAACTTAACTCTATGCAGCCATAAGACGGGAAATAAATTTAATCTAGTTATAACTCAGTCCTGGAACCGGAACGAAGAAGGATTTCATGAAAAAGAAAATCAGCATTTTCAATGCTTTGCATAAAAACTGAAAATTTTCTTCGAGTCTTGCAGAATTATCGGAATCAAAATGTGAAGGTGGGTTGGGGTGAGTGATTCTTACCTGTGTCTCTATAATTCCCTGAACCACGCACTCCATTGAAATTCTGGCTTTTGTTAATAGCAAGTTTTGCTGCGAAACCAACACCTTCAGTTGAGAAAAGTAAGAGAGGAAAAGGAGGATATGAGAGACAACGGTGAGGTGAGAGTCGTGAGAGGCCGGTGATGGTGGTGGTGGACGACGACTGAAAATCAGCGACCCAGGCACCAGCAAGAGAAGGAGCTATATTCGGGATTTGGACCAACATTGGGTCGGGCCTGGACTTGTGAACTTAAGGCCCGACCCAATCTTTGGGAGTTATTTCAAACAACTGGACGACATGTCGTTTCAATTTCTGTTTCTTTCCCCTTTTTTTTTTTCAAATGCTTTTTCGGATTTAAAAAAAAATGGGGAGAATGTTTTGGATTGACAAAAATATATTCTTTTTCTTTTTTTGGAAACAATAATAAGCTCTTTTCCATTAGCAAGACCCATGTGACGTTTACTATAATGCACGACAACTAAATATTTTATTTATGAAGAAACAACAGTGGAGTCTCAAGTAAATAAAGAATACGTTTGATTCGTTGATTTGAGTTTTTAATTTGAATTGAGATATAATTTTATATGAGAGTTTTTTACTGTAACAAAAAAGTTAAATGTGACTATTTCTTAGAGCTTTTTACTGTATCAAATCTAGAATTTTAAACTCAAATCAGTGAAATGAAAGACAACTTTATAGAAAACAACTATAGACTTTCACAAATCTTTTTTGAAATGAACACAACGAGCTTTTTCATAAAAATCACAAGCTTTTCAAACCATCCTCATGAGAACATAAGTGATAAATCTTCAAGAGTCAAGACGATCTATCGACGAAATAAAACTTGGACGTCGGGACATCAGACTTGTACGGCAAATCGTTAAAGATGAAAATGTCTTTTGACAACTATATACCTGTCATTTTTACTATAAACAACAACAAGTTTCAAACAGCAAACTGAATGTCGTTCTACAAAACGATTGGCAAAAGGCTCTGAATTAATGAATGGCAATTGGCATGTCGATTGCGGTCAAAAGACAACAAAATTTGTATTATAAACGACAAGTCGGCTCCTATAACTTCGCTTTTTTTCACGAGATAAACAATAAACTTATAACAAGAAAACGGTGAACAAAAAAAGACAAACTAATTATTCAAAAAAAAAGAGAGAACTCGTCATGTTAGAGATAGTTAATTCGTTTTATGATTCAATTTATAGTTAGGGTCTGTTAGAATAATGTACACGTGTTAGTAAGACATTGGTTAGTGTTGTAATTAGTTAGAGCCTAGTTGGACTATTTAAGATAGTTACTGTACTGTTCATTTGAGTAATGAAGATTAATTTTATTCTTAAGAAAAAGTTCTTTCTTTCCTTTCTCTGAAAGATATTATGGTATCAAAGAGTACTGATTCTGGTGAGAGTGGTTCTTTGTCTGCCATGGCTGAAGCTTCGAATTCTTCTGTTCGCTTCAGTCCTATTTCCTTTAGTCATCCAATTTCGGTTCGACTTAATCATTCTAATTTTCTTCCGTGGAGAAAATTGGCTCTTTCAACGATTCGAGGGCACAAGTTGTTGGATTTCATCTCCGATTCGAGTTCTCCGCCATTGAAGTTTCTTAGTGCCGCAGATGAAGTCGCGGGACGGGTTAATCAAGATTTCTTAAACTGGGAGCAACAAGATCAGCTATTGGTGTCCTGGCTTCTCTCCTCCATGTCCGAGACGGTTCTTGTTAGGGTTGTTGATTGTGAAACATTAGCACAGGTTTGGTACACTCTGAATCTTTATTATGCTGCTCACATTCGTGCCAAAATTTCTTAATATAAGACTCAACTCAAAAACATTAATAAGACCTCTTTGACGATGAAAGATTATTTGCTGCAAATTCGTCATTGTGTGAGTATGTTGAATTTAGTTAGGCATCATGTTCCTTCTAAAGAACAACTTGAAGCAATCTTTAAGGGATTATCTTCTGAGTATGATACGTTTGTTCTTACTGTGGAAGCTCGAAATGATGTTTTTACTGTTGAAGAAATTGAGTCTCTTCTTCTTTCACAAGAGGCTCGGATTGAGAAAAATCACAAATCACTCTATGGCCTGAAACAGGCACCCAGAGCCTGGTTTGACAAGCTGAAAAATGATTTGCTTGCACTAGGATTCATCTCTTCAAAGTTAGATCAGTCCTTGTTCATGAGGTTTCACTCTCAACATGTCACTTTTATACTTGTGTATGTTGATGATATTTTACTAATTGGAAGTGATGAAAAGGAGGTACAACAATTAATAAAACAGCTGAATGATTGTTTTGCGTTAAAAGATATGGGAGCAGTAAACTTTTTCTTAGGAATTCATGTCACACACACTACTGATGGTGTGCATTTGTCTCAGAAGAAGTATATCACAGATTTATTGTGTAAAGCACGAATGCAAGATGCTAAGCGAATTGGAACTCCTATGACTACTGGTTTCAAACTTTTAACTTTTGGAAGTGATGAAGTGGAAAACCCTCAATTATATAGAAGCATTGTTGGAGCTCTTCAATATGTAACTATAACCAGGCCTGAGTTGTCTTACTCTGTCAATAAAGTTTGTCAGTTCATGCACAAACCACTTGAATCCCATTGGCGTGCTGTAAAGCGAATTCTTAGATACTTAAGGGGCACACTTGATTTTGATCTTCATCTTCAGAAATATGCTCAGCTCAATTTACTAGCTTTCTATGACGCTGATTGGGCATCTGACCCGGATGATAGAAGGTCAACTTCTGGATATTGTGTTTACTTGGGTTCAAACATTGTTTCTTGGTGTTCCAAGAAGCAGCACACTATTTCCAGATCCTCAACTGAAGCAGAGTATAGAAGTTTAGCAAATGTAGTTGCAGAAATCACTTGGCTCTCTTCACTGCTCAAGGAGTTAAAGATTGAAACTCAAACTAGACCAGCAGTGTGGTGTGACAATCTTAGTACAGTACAACTTGCTGCAAATCCTGTTTTACATGCCAAGACAAAACATGTGGAACTTGATTTATATTTTGTAAGAGAGAAGGTGAGGCAAAAATTAATTGATGTTAAGCATGTTCCAACTATTGATCAGGCGGCTGATGTTCTTACCAAGCCTATATCAAGTTCTAAGTTTCCTGTTCTTAGACACAAACTCAAAGTTGAAAGTCTTTCAATCTTGAGTTTGAAGGGGGCTGTTAGAGATAGTTAATTAGTTTTATGATTCAATTTATAGTTAGAGCCTGTTAGAATAATGTACACATGTCGGTAAGACATTGGTTAGTGTTGTAATTAGTTAGAGCCTAGTTAGACTATTTAAGATAGTTACTGTACTGTTCATTTGAGTAATGAAGATTAGTTTCATTCTTCAGAACGTTATTACATCACTCTGTATATTTGTAAAAGACGATTCAAGCAGTATAAAAAAGTTGAATATACAGCTCCTATAACGATGCTCATAACTCCATACAAGATTTTACAGCTCTTGAATGACAACGGAAATCCGACAGATTTTACAGTTTCTGCTCTAAACATCAGTATTTCTCTGCCACAGGTCGAGATGGAAAGAGCCTCAAAAGAAATGTCATCAATGACCAAAGGCATACCACACCAAGTGCTTGGAACGTTACAATCATGGCAAACATGGCACCACTTCTTTCCATTACTTTTGGGGTCACAGGAAGCCCCTTCATCGAGAACATCAACCTCTCTATAAAATGGGCAGCTTTTGTCAACTGATACAGTCTATATACCTGCCATAAAAGTTCAAACACATAAAAACCACGCAAGGTTTGAAACCGAAAGATCTCTCGGCATTTACTAAAAGAATTTTGAACCAACCTCAAAGACTATTGGCACCAAAGGCCAACAAGATGATCCGCACTTGTCGAGATACGTTTCAAAAGAAAATTGAGCAGCGCAGCCAAAGAGAAAAGGAGCCACTGCAACCAAGGCTGGGAGACCAACCACTGGCCAGGTCACATATACAGCAAACAAGGGCGCAATGACCTTGAACCCCATTGCAAAGAAAGAAGATGTTAAGTATCCCCTGAGGCCTGTGATGAGACCCCACCTCTTCGTACTGAATTGTAGATATGGCCTTTGGACACGGTCAGTTATAAGCAAAAACGTTGCTAGTCCAATGTAAAAAAGAACCTCAAAAACTAACGAACTCACTATTTCTGCAATACCATAAAATTCAAAAAATGTTAGTTTTTTAAGTTCTAGAACACAAATCCAAACATATAAGCTATAAAAACACCTACTTACTGAAAAAAAAAAATGATGAAAAAACAAGATAGCCTATGTCGTCCTCTTATGTTATAATGCATTGCAAAAGCAAGCAGCACAACATCCGCTTGAAATAATAACTTCGTATTTGTAAAGGATTTCATCCATGTTATAGTAAGAAAAGCAGCAGGATCTTCCCGCTGTTATAGACATTTGACAGTCGTAATAATTCGATCTTCTCACTTTGATTCCAAAAGCTTGGCGAAGTTGTCAATTATGGTGTATAAATATCTTTTTTTTAAAAAAAGAAAAAACCATTGCACTTTCACATATATGAGAAGCCAAAAATATCCAAATGCTATCAAACTAACAAGTAACCACACAGTTAAAAAAAAAAAATACCTACGAGAGTCTCCTCCTTCAATATAGCTTCAATTGCACTTCCAAAAAAGAATTGCGGTAGGATTAAGGACGATATCAACGCCACGGGTGCCAAAATCCAGAGAACCGAGCCCTTATCTTCATTGAAAGGTGCAGATACCAACTTCCCTTCCTCTACTGACTGGTGAGTCAACCCATAAAACGAAACAGAACCTGATTTACCACGAAACGGCTCTACCCCATCAAATCTAACAACGGGAACACCAGAATTTTCCCTTCCTAGATGTTTTAACTTTGAGTCTGAACTAGAATGAGAACTACATATAATAACTCGTCTCTTCAAGCTTGGTAGTTGGGAATTCTTTTCCAACCTCTTCAAACCTGGCACCAAATTCGCTCAAATATTTCTGTTAAATTAGAACAAGAAAGGCAGTAAAACAACTCGCAAAAACGAGAGATTAAAAGTTATTTTTCTTCGATTCCACAATTTTCTACGAGACCAAACGCAGTTTATGGTTAACTTAAAATAATTTTTTTAAAAAATATATCAACAAATGGAAATAAAATGGGACTAGGGAAAACTCACATTTGGGTGCTGTTCCGAACCTGAGTCTTTGGGTCCTAAATCGGACGTCGCTTGCAGAAACCTAAGAAATTAACATATAGAACTCAGATTTCCATTGGCGAGTGCGAGTAAGAAATGAAAATTTTTTAGAGATTCATTCACTTACAATTGATACGCGACGATAGGGAAACCCAATTTTGGGAGCAGAAAAACCAAGACAAACGGATTGCAGCTCCATTGTTTTAGGGTTTTAGAAGAGTTCACTCGTTTCTTTCATAACCTTTGTCCTTGACAGCTTAAACCTTAAACCCTTCTTCACCTCCCTTCGTTCCCCCGCCAAGAAACGCGAACAGAAGTGAGGGATATTGGGCTTTTTGACATAGATTTAAATTTTTATCCCTTATTTTTAATTAATATTTTTTACTAATATAGTTATTTGACTAAAAAGATTATTAATTAAGAGTAAGAAGTAGAAATCATGACTTATGCATTTTTAAAGGATATTTATCTTTCTTTTCCTTTGAAATTTCAAACGCAAAAAAAAAAAAAAAAAAACAAAACAAAACAAAAAAGAAGAAGAAGAAAAAGTATATTACTATATTTTACAAATGACAAAAATCAAAAGCATCATAAATTACTAAGTAATTTACAATATCAAAATATTTTGAAATTGATATTTAATTATTTTTATAAATATGCGACTTTGTGTAATTTTTCATTTTTTTTTAATTCTAGCAATCTACCACCTAAAAAATTTGTTGTTACTGTTTTTTTTCCCCATGACTTGTTCGTGCAGGTCAAAAGTAAGTAGGTCAATTTACAGCTTTGGCTTCTTTTTCTTTTCCCTTCTTTTGTTTAGGGCACCACAACCAATCCATGGCTTCATCTGTTAAGGGCGCAACCAGTCCATGGCTTTTAGTCATCATAGTAAAAAAAAAACAAAAACAAAAAAAACAAAAGTAATAGAATATGGAACTCAATAAATAACTGGCAGTTTAAAATTATGACTTATCAATATGGTATTAATAGGGATGGCAATTTGGCTCGTGTTCGTATCAACTTAAATTTTCGTGTCGTATTCGAGTTGATTCACGTGTCACCAATTTAGTACAAACGTTACTTAGACATGTATTTTGCGATTAACATAAACAATTTGAGTGTTAATTTATTTACTTAGTCAATTTATCTACATTTTACATTATTAATATAGGTCATAATTCAAAAAATTTTCATGTTATTCAAATTAAATTATTTAAAAAAAATTTATTAAAAAATATGTTTGTATATATTTTGAATAAAAAATTAATAAATCAAGTCAATTTCATGTCAATCGTGTTTTTGTGTTCGTATCGTAACCTGTATTGTTAATAATACACTATAGAAAAAGAATAAATATTAATATTAATCTGTAAACAGAAAAGTAGTAATCAATAATTATCAATTGGTTCACGTTTTCTTATTCATAATTAAAAATGTGAATGTGAATGCTCAACTTTTCATTGCTAACATCAATGGATTCCAGTTCTCGGCCAGTGTACTTTTTCTTTTTAATTCAATCTAACGAATCTCCATGTGCGAAAGTACTTTTAATAGATTTTAGGAGAGGGAACCTTTCACTACCTCATCCTCTCCATCATAAGGTTCACTGTAGCAGAGAGTTTCAACTCCAAAGTTCATTGAATCGAAAAAAATTTGCGCCAACTCATATGAGTACATAAACTTCTATATATAAATAAATGGCAAGCAAAAGAACAATCCCACACGTCCCTGATTACACATTTGAGGTGTGACATACGTTTAGTTGGAGAATTCAAATCATGTGATTCGAACCATTTTCGATTTACGTAAATTTTTTATGAGAAAAAATACTGTAGCGAACCATGAATCATGATTCAAATTTGAAAACGAATCCTTCTACCAAACATCCAGACATTGGAAGCAGCTAGTTCCCCGTATACTAATTTTCGAAGAGCTCAGTAAAAGCTTTTAGCTAGCATTTTATTGTCGTCTATTTGGATGGAAGGTCGAATAAAAAATCTCCAAGGTATTGGCATATAAGACCCAACAGAAATTAGTAGATCCAAAAACTTAAAAGGCCTGCTTGGTGCGTAGGAATGTGGAGGACTGGATATGATTGAATTTTAATACTGTGTTTGGTGAACATTTTTAAAAGACTGGATTGAATAAACTTTTGTCTAGTCCATTATTAAATCCCCTTAAAGAGGATGATCATGATATTCCCTATTGAAGCATGGAATAACTTTCACTAAAGCACATTGTGAAAAACACTAGGGATCTACTCGTAAATTTTTTATAAAATTTAAGGTTAAAGTTTTAAAAAAATAAAATTTGACCCTAAATTTTAAATTTTTTTTTACAAAAATACCCTTATCCTAATTACACAACACCAAACATGTGATTGGACTAAACTAAAATCTAATCATATACTTTTCTATACATTTCAATCAATTACCCTAAAATTATACTATCTTATCATGCGCATAAAACGTAGTCAAGATAATGTGAAGGTAGACTAAACCGCACAAATAAGCTTTTTTATTAATAAAAAAAGGGTAAGGAAAAAGTACAAGTCATCTTAAAAAAAAAACAAATTTTAGTATGTAATTTTTTGTTTATTCTAGTAAAAAAAAAAAAATGCTAAGAACTTAATTTAGTTACTACTTTGTCGATTATCATAGAAATAGTTATGACTATATATTAGACTACCAAAACAATAGGAAAAAAAAAGGTATAGCATCACGAATTTTAAAAAACAAAATGACACTCTTAGCGAAAAAGAAATAAAAAGACATAACAGTATGAGGCAAAAAGATAAGGCAATAGAATCCAAACACTTGTATATCATAAACAGCGACGTTTACCCAAACCGGACAAACATAGCGAAATGTTGAATGAATATTGAAGAGCAATTCATAATGTTTATCGAGTTGTAGCGCACAACTGATTTAACTCACATGAAAATCCCGTGCAAATTTGGCCGGCAGTGAGAACAACGGCTACAAAAACCTCGTGGTCGGAAGTTGGAACTTGGCAGTACGGTACGTTGACGCCCTTTTTGTCTTCATTTTGAGTTTTGACTTTGGTACCCGTAATCTTATGACTTCTAATCCCACGAGATGGCCATTCTTCGTTTGGTCTTACATAAAAATTTGTTGAGTGATTAAAAGTACGGAAAAATAAGATAAATATTTTTTAATTATATGAGTTAAAATTTTTATTTTTTTATTAATGTTTTTTAATTAAATAATTATATTAGTCAGAATGGTATTAATTAAAAATAAAAAAATAAAAAAAATATCATCTCTTCAAAAAAAAAAAATTTGACACTCCACGTTGAAATAGTGAAAAACAAAAAAAAAAAAAAAACACTTAAATGTATCATCGACTATTAAATAAGGTGAATCTCATTTACAAGTTTCATATTATAGGATTCAGTTTCTATTAATGAGTAATATTAAACGACCGGTTATTCGGTGAAAAAACTATTGTTTGAGAAATGATGATTCCACGTTGAGACTAAAATTTGTGATGGTTGACATGTAAATAACGTGCCATTAAAGACAGGAAGTAGTAAGCCTTCGCCTTTTGAATATTCCATATATGATGTCATAGAGGTAATGGTCAACCAATTTCATTTCTTTGGATAACATAAAAAAAAAGATTAAATCCCACTTTTTTAGTCCGCATTAAATCACTAGCATATTCTCATTAGGAAAAAAAAGAGAGAGGGTTTGACCTGTGCGCTTGGTCAAAAAATACATTTACGTTCTGTCCAATCCCATATTTTTAGGCGAACGTAGTAAACAACAAATGGGAATTTATTTGGTGTTTTCATTTTTAAAAAAATATTAATGGGTGTTTAGTATCATAATTTGTGTCATAGTTTGAATTATGATTCGTGACTTATTATAGTGTTTTCTCTCATAAAAAATACACATAAATTGAGAATAATTTTGAATCATAATTCTGAATCTATGAACCAAACGTCCACTAAGTGTTTTATGTTTATTTGATTTGACTTTTAATCACATTTAATATAAATTTGACGGCTGACAAGTAGAAAATATTAGTATTTCTAAAAAAAAGAATGTGAGAGAAAATTCCATATCAAATTTATAAAATTAAACTAAATAAATAATATATTTTAAAATTATTTAAAGTAAATAACAGTTTATCGCATAAATATTCATTTATAATTAGTAAATAATTTTTTTACTTAAATTCTCTTTTTACGACCGCTAAAAAGATTTTTCAACGTAAATAAAGACTTTTTAGCACATAAATTATAATTTACTAGCGGTAAATAACACATTTATTTAATAAATTATTATTTATTTTAAATAGTTTAAAAATTTGTTATTTATTTAATGTAGTTTAAAAAATTTGTTATTTACTACCATTTTATTTATTATTTTTTTAAGGAAACATATACCTGTAGTTTTTTTTTTCCTTTTCTTTTTTCTTGCAATAAATATTTAGGTGGTAGTTTCTTGTTTTTTAAGAAGATATTTAGGGGTTGTTCGTTTGCATTTTTGAATTAAGGTGACTTGAGTGATTATCTTAAGTTGAGTTTAAGTTATAACAGTCCCGATCATTTGACCGATTCGAGTTTTCAATTCTAATTTTACTACAGTTAAAAGCTCTCACAAAAAGTCACATTTAATTTTTTTACTACAGTTAAAAGCTCTCACATAAAGTCATATCTCAAACTGAATTAAAAACTCAAATCAGCAAACTGAACGAGGCCGTTGGCAATTTTAAGAATAGAAAAAATATTGTTCATTAACTTGAGTTCGAGTTTATGAACTCGAGTTGAAGGAGAAACTTGAAGTCGAGTTTAGCCCTAAACTCGAGTTCAAACTCAAATTTTATAAAAGAACATGAACTATAATAAAGTTGTAACTCGAATTCAAACTTTTTCTGAATTTCGTTGCAAAAGAACAACCCCTTAGCTGTTGTTGGATCAATGAAAACTTGCAGCAGCAGCTGAAAATTGAAAAAAAAAAGAAAAAAAAAGAAAAGATATTCGATAAACAAAACTATTTATTTTTTATGTGTGGTCAGCGAGATTAAAGAACATGAATTGGAATATGTTAATAATACTTGTTGGTAGAGCCAGAAAAATAACAAGCAAACTATTCTTTCGTTATCCTTTAAACTTTCTGACTATGAAAGCTCCAGCCAAAAAAAAAAATCCGGATAGAAGAAATTATAACTAATCTATTAGTTAATTATAAAGGAGAGTTTTCTTTTAAGTACTATTTAAAAATTTAGTCTATTTATTTTGTCTTCTTATGTTTTTTTTCCCTTCATCTTCAC